CTCGGTTGTTTGGAATGGCATTTCCAAAACTAACAGTTTATCTGTCGAGCGAGTCCAAAACAAATTTAATTCTATCTTTAAATATCGTTACCTTGAGAAAGGTGATCCTTGTCTGAACGGTATGTGTAACTCGCAACTTGTCAACTTGTTGAGCCTGCAGCAGCGTCAGGTGAAGGCAGATTTGTTGTTTTTGTTTAAGACCCTGCACGGCTCGACTAACTCTCCGAGCCTTCTGTCCGAGGTGAGTCTCAGAGTTCCACGTGTGCCTACACGGCTCCAATCATCTTTTTATTTAGCTCGACATTTTAGCCACTTAAACCCGATCCAAAGATCGGCGGAGTGTTATAATCGCTACTCTGACACAATTGATATTTTTAACTCATGCGGGAGCAAGTTCGGAAGTGCTATTCAAATCTTCCTCTTGCAGGAAAAGGGCTGATCAGTTGTAGCGTTGATGTAGCATTTGCTTTTTTCTCTCACACCTGGTGATGTCTCTGTTTTGTGCTTTTGATTTCCCTTGTTGATTTGAGTGTCTTTCATACTTGGTAATATTTTGTTTCTCAGACTGGAGAACTACGTTCTCCTTCTGCACTCGTGTGTATGCGTGTTTGTACGTGTGTGTTTTTGCTCATTTTTTTAGTGTGCCAGCACTAAGACCGATTGGTTGTTCCTGGAGACTTTTATAAACATTGATTGATTGATTGATTGATAGCATGCAACCGTAAAGCCACCATCACACAGAATAAATAACGCGCGTTGCCTTCCACGTCGACACCGACGTTGGAAAGACGAAGCATTCTCACAGGGCCTCCTCACGTCAGCGTCTGCTGGGGAACCTCGGGTTTGTCGAAAGAACACGAAACTTTTTTTTTTCGAGTGATTCGTGCGTTGGTTGTTGCCTTGCCTTCGTGATCGCATATGCGCCCCGAGACAATTTTTTTCACTTCAGAGAGAACGGCGATGATTTTATTTACGTTTACACTCCGATTGTATGCTGCATAGGTGAAATGCGCGGACTCAAGCGGGCACCTTCAGAAGGCGTTCTTTTGCCGCGTTTTTATGCGAACAAAGAACGGTGCAACGCGCGGGCGCCCGTACATTTAACAGTGCACGTAGCTTGTGCTGTAGTGTTTTCAGAGGAGAACTGTTGTATGTCGTAGTGGTGCCGTGCACACAAAAATAGACAACCCACATAGGAAGTGATCGCTGCCGCATGTTGTCCTGGTTTCGATGGTCTTGACAAACCGAAAAACTTAAGACGAGACGGCCGATGCGGAGGCCTATTTTTGGCCACGAGACTGATTATTTTGCCCTGGCGCGGCATTTGGACACAAACCTTGTGACCTATGTGAAGCTTGTCCAGGATTTCGAAGCGTAGGGCTTCCGGTATGACGAGTCGATTCCCTTGAACAACAGGCCGTCTAGTACGGCTAGTTCGACGCCGACTTCGTAGAAATGGCGGACTCCTTGAGGAAGCGTCATTTTGTTCGGCCCTATCTAGAGAACGTACTAGATTACCTTCTTCATCAACAGGTCTGTCTGCAGCTCATTCTTGATGCAATCGAGCATTTCTTGGGAGGCTGGAAGCTGTTCCAGCGTGAGGAGCTCGTTCTTTCTGGTGTTGAGTTTTCTTGTTCGCAAGGCTTCGTCGGCAAACGGGTTGCGCGTCTGCAGGTCGGCTATGCACATTGCTTTTCCACGATTGTGTCCCACCGTGCAGTCGTACGGGAACAGTCGCATCTGTACTCACTGCAGTAATGGCCTCTACTTATCGAGTCGCTTTGTTCTCATAAATTGAACCAGCGGTTTGTGGTCTGTCTCAATGTGAAACTGCAGTCCTAATATATACAAGCGGAAGTGATCACAGGACCAAGTGATCTCAATTTTAGCGTAGCTTTGCTCAGTCTCAGTGAGAGTGCGCAATGCATAGTAAATGGCAGCCGCTTGCCGTGAAGTCTTTTAGCAAGAAAGCACTAATTCCGTAAGATGGTGCGTCCGCTGAGACTACAAGAGGCTTGTTCGGAGTGTTATGCATCAGAGCTGGCGCTTTGGCTAGAGCTTCTTTCACTGCTTCAAAGCTTCGCTGGTGGTTGGGTCCCTCGAGCCAGGGAGCGTCGGCGCAGAGGAGGTCCCGCATTGGCTTCGTTGTGTGTTTCAGGTGTGGCAAAACCTTAGCAAGGTGGTGTGCCATCCCCAAGAACGATCTCAGTTGTTTTTTTCACATCTGATGGTGTGATCCATATGATCGTAATGACTTTTACAAGATCAGGTGTCACACCCCCTCCGAAAACAATGTGGTTTAGGAACCTGACTGTCAGCTGTAAGAAGGGGCACTTGTCGAAGCTGAGTGTTATGCCGGCTTTGCTGACTCGTTCGAAGACGTTAAGCAGGTTCGCGTCGTGTTAGGCCCGTGTTTTCCCCCAGACGATAATATCGTCTGGCAGGCAAGCTTGACTTTCTACTTCCTCAGAGGCTCTCAGCATTTTGGACTGAAAAAACTCTGGTGCGGAAGCGATTCCGATGGGAAGGTGAAGAAACTTGATGCGCCCAAACAGCGTGTAAAATGTCATGTATTTCTGCGATTCCTCCGCCAGGGGTGCTTGCCAGTAACCAGCCCGAGCGTCAAGCTTGCTGAGGACTGTGCCACCGGGAGTTTTGCCAGGCATCCGTCTAGGGTGTCCATGATAATTCGCTTTCTTACGAGGGGCTTGTTGAGCTCATGTACTCAACGCAAATGCGCAGTTCGCTATTTGCTTTTTCTGTGATAACCATCGAAGCGCACCTCTCTGTGGCCTTGGTGACGCGCTCTATAACATGGAGCCTAAGCATCTTGGAAGGGTCAACCTGCACAGGTGGTAGCACCACCAGTGGCACCCGCCATGGGTACGTAACAGCAAAATGATTTGTTTCTGGTCAAAGAAAACCTTTGATCAGACCCTTCGCCGTACAGCGCAGTATGGTAGAACAGACGGCCCCGTATTGTTACGGGGGGTTGATAACTGTGCGACATAACTTATAAATAGGTAAAGTACATATCGAAGACCAGAGAAAAAAAAAAAAAACACAGAGGTTTTTTGCAAGAGGGCCAAGAAAACACCGAATATTATTTTTTTTCTTGTCAGTAACACGTGCATTAGCTATTTTTAAAAAGTGTGCCACACTGCATTCATGCCTCTCTTGAAAGTTTGTTCCGCCAGATCGACGTCCATGCGCTCTGCGTCGAACAGAAGTTTTGGCGTGTCTTGTTAGGGTTAGAGAGTGTCAGAGTACGCCTTTTTTTCTGAAATGGTTGTTGACCGCGCCATTCCAAAAAAGCTTGGAAGTGTCTAGAGGTCGAAAGCTTGTGAAGACCTGGAAAAAGAAGTGCTCGTTCTGACTTTCGCAGAGGGTCCATCACATCGGGATTGTAGTCGCGCGGCGCGATGGCAGTGACGTCGACGCCTGCATCGACCTTGAATGTGATGAAGATATTGTATTTACACTAACAGGGTGACTCTGCAAGCGTCATCAACAGAACCGGCTCCAAGCTCGCCTAGGTACGCTTCTCGCACTTCCGGTGTGCGGCGAGCTGGGCGAGCCACTGTGGAAGTACCTGGTCTTTCTTGATATTTCAAAGACAGGCAAACTAAAGCATAGTGGTCTTGTTTTTAACGCGACCGCAATCGGCTCCCGATTGTGATCAAGTACATTAGGTAAAGTAAAAAAAAATGTTTTGCTTGAACACCAGTGCCTGCGTGTTCGCTGTTTTTAAGAGCAGACCATTGCACTTAGACTTCAGAGAAAACATTATGATCTCAGCGTTTGTCGCTTCCATCCTTCTATTTGTTTTATTATTTTTTGTTCCCATTGTTACAAACAGAACGCCCGAACCAGAGATATGAGATGAGCTTGTGCAAATAGATTCACAGCAAAAAAAGAAAGAGAAAATCAAGATACTTTTGCAGTGCTTAATTTTTACGCGTGTTCTGAGTTCGATAATCGAGAAGATCCGCTCCTTGGCAATCAGGCCGCCGTTGCCCGGTAGTACCGGTTCTGCAGGCATGCATATTAAGAAAAAAAAAGCGTTCTTTCGCATTAGCAAGTAAACGTGCAACCGATTCAATTATGAATAAAACTAATTTTGCATAACTGCAACATGCAATACAATAGCGCCTAAATGCCCGTGCAGCACTCCAGTGTTGGCCTGACGAAGTCACGAAATTGGAATGATGGGATTATAATATGGGACCCAGTATTGGAGCGCTATCTGCCCCAAATACGGCACCAATTAGGTTTCTGATACTGGTTCAATCACGATTAGGGGTTTCTACCATTATTATTCCTATAGTGACGTTCCAATTTGTCCAAATATAAAGGATTTCCAATATTGGTGTCAAGTGATAGCCGAAGAATTCAAAGTCAAAGTCAAAGTCAAAATGTGTTTTTGTTTGTACACAAGATGTTAGATAATTACACTTATTCAGACTGGGGTCCCAAACTTTAAAAAAAAAACTGTTGAAGGGGTCCCTTGGTGATAGAGGGTTAGTCAGCGATCAAGTTAACACCATAATATATAAAATAAACAAAAACGAAGCACAATTGTGGTGCGTACATAATCAAAATATTAAACCAAGTGAAAAGAGAGATAAGAAAAGCTAGAAGGTCGAGAAAAAAGGACAATATCAGTGTGTGTTTGTGTGTGTGTGTGATTGTGTGAAAGGTGTGCCTAGGAGAGATAAAGGAATCGGGGGGGGGGGGGGGGCATAGAAATTGTTGATGAATCATGCAGATGGTATGTGTGCACGTATGGCTTGTTTAAAGATATACAACGATGACATGGTAGCTAGGCAGAGTGGTAGGGAGTTCCACGTTTTAGTAGCAATGTATGTGAAGGTGAACGCACCATAATTAGTTCGTATGTTTGGTGCAGACAGTGGCGCTTGGGAATGTGAACGCAGAGGACACATGACTTCTTGATGAGTAAAACTAATTGAAGAGCATGTTATCTGGTTGGTGATTAACTTAAGCGTTAATAATGCTACACGGTAATCGAGGCATTGATTAACTGTTAAAATGTTGAGGAAGCGGTACGCAAATTGAGCGCTTTCGCGCCTATTAACAAACGGCATTGCTCGTAGTGTCGTGTTCTGGGCAAGTTCTATGGGTTTTAGTGTTGTTTTATATGTCAGTCCATAAAAGGATAACCCGTACGAAATGTGAGTATGAATTAAGCTGTGATAAAGCATTTGGGGGGTTCGTAAGGAAAATATGTGCCGTAGTTTATATAGAATCGGTATGTTTCGATATATCTTATTAGTTGTGTCTTTTACGTGTTGGTGCCATGTTAACTGATGGTCAAGTGTTAGTCCTAAAAATTTAGTATGGTACACTCGAGTTATGTTAATACTTGCAAACGAAAGCTGAGGTATGTTTAAAATTAGTTTGTTTTTCGGGGCAAAAATTATGTAGTTTGTTTTCGCTATATTGGGAACTAATTTGTTATGGGTTAGCCATTTAGCTAGCTTTTCTAAAGTGTTATTAGCTTTAGGTCTCTCACGCTTGCACTAGATATAAAAATATTTGTATCGTCGGCATAAAGAACACAATATTTTAGACTCCCATTTTTAATAACTTCATTTCAATATTTTGCTTTGTTTTCTCTACCATATTTATTAACGCGAGTTCTGTTGATTTCCCTTTAAGAAATTCATATTGTGACGAAGTTGTCAAATTATTTTCAGAGAAGAACAGATGCAGTCGCTTTAGTAGAAGTTATTCAATCACTTTTGTAGTGACAGGAAGTAAGGCGATCGGTCGATAGTTCTCTGGTTTTAGTTTGTCTCCTTTTTTTAAATATTGGAATCACTTTTGCTATTTTGAGTAAGTCAGGGTAAGAGGTAGTCGGGAAAATTTTGTTGATAATATCAGACAAAGCGTGCGCGATGATGGAAACACATTTTTTCGTATTATCGTCTGTATTCCGGCGCACCCCGACGACGAAGTATTTTTTAGCGTGTTAAGAGTATTATGAACTTCTTCTGGATTGACAGAGTAAAGAAATAACGTCGTGTCATTACGAGCTATATTTGGTGTGCCAGTGAATAGATTTGTCCATGAAAGATACTCTACGTTTGTAGTGATGGTTGAAAAGTAGTTATTGAGCGTGTTAGCAATTTTTTGTTTGTCCGTAATTATGCCTTGGTCGGTGCTTAATGCTGACAGAGTTTGTTCGGTAGTACTCTTTTTTAGTGCAGAGTTAATAATTTTCCAGGTTTCTTTGGGATTGTTAATCGCGCTAGAAAGTTTACTAAAAAAATACTGATGTTTAACTACGTTAACTAATTTCTTTAAATAAACATTATACAATTTGTATTTAGATTGACGGCTTAGATTAAATGGATTGCGTTTTAGTTTTTTATACATATTGTTTTTGTGATTGATAAATCGCTACAGCCCGTATGTTAAACAGGGGCCTTTTCTGACTGATCTGCGGGATCGGGTTTTAGTTTTCGTACTTATTTGAATGGAAGATTTTAGTGTTTCTAAAAAGTTGTCTAGTTTTAGGTCTGCCCTGGGCGCCTGGTATACGCACTCCCATGACTTCGTGTTTAATGTATTTATTATTACGTTGTAATCGTATATTTGAGTAGTTTGTGTTATCGATTGTGACACCTTATGTGTACTAGAAACAGCGAAAATGGGTGTGTGGTCGGTTATGTCGCTTGCAACAGTGCCAATTGTGAAGTCTGTTGGACGCCAAGACGTAATTGTGTGATCCAAACTGATGTGTTTTGTGTAGCTAAAGCGGGTAGTTGTTGTTATGCATTGTTGTAGTCCGTAGACGGCTAGTGTATCTATGTATCTGTAAGTGACGGACGAATCAGCAGAAGTGTCAATGTTTATGTCGACCATAATGATGACATTTGAATTAATTTGAGAAATGTTTTTGAGGCTTTCATTTAAGCTGCCTAAGACGTGCTCAACTCCATTATTTGGTGTACGGTAAATGACGCCAACGAGTGTATTTTTTTGTTTTATCGGGAACTACACTAGGTGATTTGGGATTTGGCGGAATTTCTATAAATAGTGATCCACAAAGATTAGATGATATATGAATGTCTTCTCTAAGTCTGAAAGTAAGTGTATTTTTTACGTAAAGAGCACCTCCCCCGCGCGATTTAGACGGAAACGTTATTTCTTGTGGTTCGCGATGATCATATGTTACCTGATAGTCAGGAATATTGGGCTTGTTATTCGTGTTATTGCTGAACGATGTTTAAGAAAGGGCGATAAAGTGAAAATCATGTTTTAGGGTAGATTATAAGCAAATCAGATCGTCAAAATGACTACGTAAGCTTCTGATGTTCAGATGGAGTACCGATATCTCCGATGAAGTGGATGTCTGTCTGGAAAGTAGGTCTGGGTCAAGCAAGGATATGTTCATAAGGAAAAGAAAAAGTGATAAATGAAGAGGGACATAGAAAGATTTAGAAGCTAGACAAAGACGCTCAAATAATCCTGAGACACGATATTCTGAACTTTTTTTTGTTATTTAGGAATACTAATGGCCCCACTCAAGGAGCCATGGTAGGAGTGGGTACAAAACATGTAAACAAGATGCAGATTTATAAATGAAAACTCAATTAAGTATGAATTCAAGAGCAGATACAAAATTAGCAACAGTTGTGTTGACGACGACATCATTTGGTAACTCGTTCCATTTTTCAATTGCCCGAGGGAAAAAAGAATATCTAAAACAGTCGTTTTTGAACCTGTATTGTTTTAACGCTCTTGTGTGGTTTAGACGTGAGGACCTGGTCGATAATGGTTGTATATGGAGCTTTGAACATGAAGAGTGCCATTAATAATATTGAACAGCAATTTTAATCTATCAATTTTTGCTCTCATTTGCAACGGTTGAAGCTTCGCTCTAATAACTAATTCGGTGGAGGATGTTTCTCTACGATAATCATTAAAAATAAACCGAGCAGCTAACTTTTGGATACTTTCAAGCTTGTTAATACCGTTTCGTTAATACCGTTTTCGAGCACAGGCCTAATAAAACTTTTATAAGCAATAAGTTTAGTGTCAAAATCAGCAAATATTTATTTCCTACGACACGCAAACAAAGTACCCTCGCTTTGTTAACCGTTAATTTTAAATGCTGGTTCCAGTTCAGTTTATTGTTAAAAAGAAGTCCTAAATACTTGTACTCCTCGACCCGCTTTACTGGTTGTTTATCCAGTAGGTAACTAAATTGATTTGGCTTTTTTTTTTTTACAGGACACTGTCAGGACTGCTGTTTTAAAAAAAAAAAAATTAACTTCATTTGCCATTTTTAGTGCAACACAGTATCTCATCCAAAGCCTGCTGCAGTGTAAGATTGTCGGTATGGCTTTTTATTGTTTTATATATAATACAGTCGTCAGCGAACAATCTAATCGGGATATCAATATTGGTTGGAATGTCATTAATGTAAATCAAAAACAAAATTGGCCCACGTACGGAACCCTGGGGCACTCCTAAAGTAACGAGCACTTTGTCCGAATTAACTTTGTCCCAGTGGGCTTCGGCTTGATAAATACGCGGTTATCCAACTTATAATTTGTGAGTTTTTAAGTATGCTGGAAAGTTTTTTCCAGCAGCTTTGGATGAGACACTGTGTCCAACGCCTTAGAAAAATCTAAGTATATTACGTCAGTCTGGCCCCTCTCGTTAATGGCTTAAGCCAAGTCAAGCGTAAAGTCTATGAGCTGAATCGTAGTCGAAAGTGATTTCCTAATCCCATGCTAATTTCTAAATAGTAGGTTATGCTTATCTAAGTGACATGAAATATGCGTAAAAATAATATGCCCTAGCAATTTACACGTGGTTCTAGTTAAAGATATTGGCCTAAAGTTTGATGCTGCACTCCAGTCACCCTCTTTATGTATCAGAATTATTTTTGAAAAACTGAGCTCCCATTGGTTTTTCTGGCTTTAATAACACATTGGTCAGTCCACAGGTGCATCCATTCCTTGTATTTCTTTAGGCGCACTGCCGCAGAGAGAAGTTTTTTGTTTAGAGGAGAAAGGTGATCATTAAAAAAGAATTGACGCGGTTCCTCTGTAGGTTCAAATCCTTGCTTGTGATGCGAGCGCGGCGTGCCTTCTTTTGGAAATCATTCTTATGATCCCTCAAGATGAATCTCGTGATTATTTTTGTGAGCGTTTGGTTGACTTGGGGTGGAAACCCGGTGCACGATGTCAATGTCAGTTTTTGTGATGGGATTGTTGATGTGGTTACCAATGTGTGTTAGAAGCTCTCCGAGATCTTCAGTCGGGTTGTTGGGCATGCCACGGATCTCAACGTTGTTGAAGCGTGAGTACTGCTCGAGTTGAGCGACCTGCCGTGTTAGGTGTGTGTTGTTTGTTTCTAATAGTTGATTGGCTCTGTTTCAGTTTTGTGTTGTCTTCGCTCAAACTATCACACTTTGCTTTCAGCTCTTCGATATCTTTTTTCATGATGGCCAGATTATTCTCAGCCTCACGCAGTTCGTTCCTCAAAGTGCGGAAGTCCTCTTTGTTTGAACATCAAACTCTTTTTTAAACTCATCATTTCGATTTTTAGCTCATCCATCAGTAGCTGAACTTCTTTCGCCAGCTCTTGGTTCGTTGGCATACTGCTCCAAACAACAGGCGTTACAAAATAGGGAGGCGATCTAAGTGGCTGGTACGATGCGTTTGTTGGTAAAACGACTTGCATGTACCTGTTGGAAGGCGAAACAATCTATCAGCTCCGGCGGTGAAGGTGCTGGCTACTTAGATCACCTCTCTATGCCCGAGACAGTCGCTCTGGTCTTCCTTTTGAAGGAGGACACCGGGTGTTGCCGTCGCCGGAAGCAGGGGTGGCGGCGCTGCACGTGGCGGTACGGGTGATGACAGGGCAGCAATAAGGAGTCGATTTGTTGGAAGGCGAGACAATGTATCAGCTCCGGCGGTGAAGGTGCTGGCTACTTAGATCGCCTCTCTATGCCCGATACCGATATCGAATGGTACGTCAGGAATTCCGATATTGATATTCAATATTAGACCGCGATTTCTAATAGTGTTGTCCAATATTATGCCACGATTTCTGATATCGGCATCTAATTACAAGCCATTCTAGTGCATTAACGTAAACCATTTATATTCTGACTTTTCTAACATTATATTCCAGTCACAAATCAATTTCTTGACACTAGTCACTCAGTGACATACTAGTCTTCCCCGATTTGGGCAACTAAAGATAGACCAATTTTCTAATCTTGTTCATCATTTGGGGCGCGGTAGAAACATCGTTTTACCGCGCCCCAGTTTTTAAATCTTGTATTTCCTTATTAGCCCAGCTTTTGTAATTATGTCAAGCATGACTCTCTCGAACTGCGCCAATATAATAGCCATTTTTTTAACGGGATATTGGCAATTGTTTGGGAAAAATATCCTTTATCATTATCAAATACGAAAGTTCACGAAAGAACATCTATCGTATCATATGTATTTGTTTTTAATACAGTCGATGTCCTATACAAGCTCGTTCGTCATTT